TGCTGCGAAAGATTTATGATTTTTTGTGCGTTGTCTACGGTGAATACCACAGTCGATGGATCGATGAACTGTACGAAATGTACGACTATATTTACATAGTACAGCGAATTAAGAGACAGTAACTTCGCGACAGTAACTTCGCGCAGTAGCCGCCGGGGGAAGTAGGGAAGGTTTTAATATATCGGTGGGAAATTCCACACACATCAAGAAGCTGCTCATTTGTTGGAAGATATATTTTTTTTTTTACCACCTTTATTTGCTGTAAACAATTCACTCACGAAATAAAAATTTCATTTTTATCCACGCGTTAATTTCGCTTTCTTCTGCGTCTTATTTTCGTTGCTTAAATCTTCATTAAATGGTTAATGAAACTGAAAATAAGAAATTCYACAATTTTTCAGCTGGAAATTAAAAACTTGTACGCCATACATCACCCTACTCATTTCATGCACCGTGCCCAGCTTGCGAACAAAAGTAAGTAAAATGGTGCAAATTTTCATTTGTCGCGCAACATTTCTTTCATCCTCCCATTCATGTACTCATTCATTCGCTCATTTATTTATTTATTCGCTCATTTATACGAAGTAGCGCACTTAGTCAGTCAGCCATGAATTCATTTCGCCAATGAAATTTTTGTTCACTTCCGCGCCACAAGGAACGACTAAAAGCGGAAACAAACAACAACAGCAACAACGAAAAACAGTTGCATGTTGCATGTTGCAATTTCTGCATTTTGGGTTGTTCGTCGTGTCGAATACTGTATGTTACGGTGCAGCAAAAATTGTTCTCCTTTCCTTCTCCTTACGTTTGCTACTTTTGTTGTTATTATTTGCACCTGCTCACTCGTTTTCCGACTACAGCCAGTTGTCTTTATTTACAGTTCATTAATTATTTTGTCAACCAGTTTCATTTTCTGTCGGTTTTCTCTTTGGCTCTTGGCAAAATTATATACCGTTTGTTGGTTGTTTTGCGCTCACGGCTTGTTGCTCTTATTGTCGGGCTACTCAATGTAACCCATTCGTGAGTATTGTGTGCTGTACATTTTTACGCTTCGGTGAATACAGTAGAGAACTGATTAATAATTATAATTTGAAAATTAAGACAACTCAAACTACTTGTGTGCATTTCGGTATTATTTAGCAAACATTGAATATTCGTCTAAGGTATTTAAGATACCAGATTCACGATTTTAACCGGTGCAATAATCTGTGTCCAACATSGTGAAGATATCTGGTGAAATAAAAAGCCTTTCCAATAACATTATTTTGATCATTCAATTTGTACGGCAGCTRTATGCTGTAGTGATCCGCTCTCGGTGATTTCGACAAATGAGCAGCTGCTTGARAGCGTCTGCAAAATRTSAGAAMGATATCAAMAAAACTGAAGGACTAACTTATGTACACACCGCCAGATAGGCGTGTCCAAAGCGACTCAGGTCATTATGCTGATAATTTTTATATACACTTTATAGGGCTCCGACACTTCCTTTTGGATGTTGCAAACTACTGAGTATGTTAGTTTTGTATGGATAAATCGAACATTGTAGCTAATAGATCATTTTTTCTTTTTTTTTTTTTTACATAGACATTTAATAACTCGCCAATGGGATTTTTTATACTAGTTTTTTTTTTTTTTTTTTAAAAAAAATTCCATTTAGGTCGTTTCGATATCCAACGTTCTTATCAGATAATTTACTTGAAGCATGGCATAAATATTTTTGAAAGCCTGGAAATTTAAAATTTTTGGCTTGGGGGAAAGTTTATAGAGCGGTTCATTGTCAGGACCTCTCTRGCAACTCTAGCTACAGACTTCCTCACTATTGCAGTATATTCCAAGCCGAGGTACCAGCCTCCTTCAGAGAAGTGAACATTCACACRGATAACAGAACGGCGATACTAGCCTTGAATTCATTTACAGTGCGTTCAGGATTGGTCAAAAAGTGCTTAAACTCGCAGTAGCATCGAGTATACATATTTGTGATAAGACTGAGTTAGCAAGGAAAGGCGCCTTAGAACCGCTATCGGTAGAATGGTAACGGGTTGGTATACCCGTATCCTCTTGTGATCTACTACTAGATAGCTGATTTTTTCGTAAGCTTGCCCCAGCGGTGGGAAACCATCAGTACATGCGCTGTCGGAAAAACCTTTTGGACTTAGATTAATCGCAGGAGATCTCTTTGCTCTTCGTATCGCTAAGCACTCCCGACTTATGCGTCCATGTTGGAAAGAAGATGAGYTCGAAACAACTCAACACTTCCTTCTTAACTGTGCCGCGTTTTGGAGGTCAAGACTTAAGTACTTGGGAGCATATACCTTCAGACATCCCACCGGACTGGAGGGAGTGGAAATAAAAGGCCTGAATACAGCAGACRCATGCGATCTTCGATCAGCCATCTAAGCTAACCTAACCTCAATATTTATACGCAAAAAAATCGAGAGAATTAAATAATAAAAAACAACTTAATAATAATTTTGATTTCTACCAAGAAAATATACTCGGTTAAACCGTTGGTCGAGGAAGAGAAAAATGTCATAATCTCTCAGCTGAAAAACTAATATATGTATAATATATACTCATTCAAAATTGCAGCCGATATGTGACAGTATAGATTCTCTGTAATTTTACATCAGACTAGTCAGAAAAAGATCAAATCAGATCATCTAATTATACTTGCGAAAAACTTCCTATTAAAAAATCGTAAGGCTTGCATAACTATTTTGGGAAGGGAGCACTGCTTCGCCCGAAATTCGAATTTCTTACTATAATAATTCGCTGGGTGACGTCGAGTAGAACATCTCATATGTACATATATATGTAGGTATCAGGTCGAGTAAAAAGAAATGAATTATTTTACCAATTCATAGCTWTATTGATCTCTTCATCTTAGAATGATAACATAGAGTTCGTACTAAAAATACTTCTCAGACAGCTTTGTGATTGCTTGGTTCAGAATAAAAAAGTTTTTCTTCGATGAAGACTGAAACAGAATGAGGTTTGCTGTATGAGTACCACATGAGTTAATGAAAACAACATGAACGCTGCTGGATAGCAACAGAATCGATTCATTTTTGAAAGCGTCCTGAAGTCAGTTTTGGCTAAAAGAGAAGGAATTGTAATCCTGCAGAACAACGCATCGCACATCATCGTGATTCGAAAGAAGCTCTTAGAACTTGGCTGAGRGTTGTTATGCATCCAGTTTACAGTCGAGATCTGGTAATCAAATTATTACTGGTAGTTTAAAGCGYATGAGTTTGGTTGTGAAAAATACGCCTCAGAAGTGCGTGACGGACGGATTTAAGTGGGAGTGGCATTGTGAAATTACTCTCAAAATGGGAAGATGGTACATCGTATTTAAGCCAAAGTTGTTCATTCTAAGTATACAAAACRAAACCTGCAATTGGATAATGGATTCCCTTTTACTAGATCCATTACATGTTTTAGATAAATTATTAAGTTCTAATCGAAGTAGTYCAAACGCTGAACCCAATTTTTGACGGTTTTCAAGCATAAATCGGCCGATACTGCCACAATTTCAGGCTCGATATTTGTATGAAGTTCATCAATCGTCGCTGGCTTGTTGACAAAGACCATAGACTAGACTTAGCCTTGACTTAGCCCCTCAGTAAATAGTTTAACTTCAAGTTCACCAAACTGGATTTTYAATAAATCGATTGTGGSATTCGGTGTGTGGCTTGTGGCGYCGCCCTGTTGGAATCACATATTTTGCAAATAAAAATCATCAAATTCGGGCCAACAATATTTGATTATCATTGAGCGATAGCGWTTCCCATTCACAGTAACGTACCGGTMTTTATCATCACTAAAGAAGTACGGCCCAATGATGCCGCAGGCCYATAAACCGCACCAAAYCGTAATTTTGCGCAATGCGATGGTGCCTCATGGARTACATGTGGATTGCTGCCTGACCAATAATGCAAATTTTGCTTTTGGACGAAGCCAATCAGCCAGAAATGAGCCTCACCGCTGAAGATGATTCTTCGACGAAATTCCGTATCATTTTCACRTTGTTGATCAGCCCAATTCCACGAACATACGACGATTCTAGTAGCCAAGCGGCTTCAATTTTTGCGTTAATTTTACCTTGGAAAGATATAGGCCAAGATCCAAGATCGCATAATTCGCTACTACGACGTCACGAGATGCTCAACGCTTGAGAACGACGCTCGACACTTCCCCGGTACTATCTGAAMTTCTTTATCTCACTGGCATGGTAACATTTTATACTAAGCCGATGGATTAAAATTTTTCCACTAGACGCTCAATTGTTGATCTGAAYGGACGATTAGGACGACCATAAGTGAAAATCCGAAATTTGGTAGTAAATTAYAGTAACTTCAACTCGTTGTTGGATCTTTTATGTTGCTATGAAGAAAGAACATTTTTTACTGAAGAGAAATGTCAAAAGAGCGGGAAAAAATATTTCATCGTTGGCTGTCCCTATCGGTCTACTTTTGTAGCGTCTCTATTGAAAAGCCCGTTATTTCTGTCAGTTGTTAACCTTGAGCAGCGCTACGACTTTTTAAGCGAAAAATTAACTGTAATCAATGAAGGCCACAGTTTCTCTTTCATAATATTCAATATGACTCGAAAACATGTCGCAGAAACTCCAAGAATTCATTAATCAGGCTAAGACTGACTTGTTAGGAGTTCCGCACTTGTTAGCGAACGCACAGTAATTTGTCGGCATTAGCATTTTTATCTGCAACGCAAATGCACACAGACATATAAAAAAGCTGCGGAATATTATTTTCCACTTAAGCAAGCAGTGCAGCGCATAAATTTCGCATTAGCGCAAAGTCAAAAAAAAAAAAAACTAAGGAATTCGCCAAAATTCGGCTAAATTCTGCTAAATGAACCGCAAAAGTGCTTTGTTGCACAATTTTCTCACACTTAGACAAGCGCTGCGACATTTTGCATATGTGTTTAGCATGTATGAAGAAAATATTTTTTTATGCAAGCGTGCAAGTAAGATGACTCACCAGTACTGCCACATTTTGCGCGCATGATATGGCAGATTGCACAGCGCAAAGGTTAATACGAAAATGATGAGCATGCGCACCACGCCGCGTCTGGCGCGCAACACATTATTCGACGAGTGCGACATGTGAGCGACGCGCGCTCGCTGATGCGGATGYGGATGCGCCGATGTATGATGATGATGTTGCATAAAATTGCTTTTATGTGTGCTATTCATGCTGCCGCCACTGATGCCACCGCTACTGCCATTGCCGTTGTTATTGCTGCCGTTGCGGCAGGCCGATACAATGGGGCGTTCKGAGTCCAGTGAAACCTGAAATGAAATTAAGGTAAAGAATTCATTATGAAAAATATTTAAATTCTTTAGAAAAAAAATTTCATTTAGTATAAGCTTAATGTTTCCTGAATATYCTACATGGCTTATAACCTCCAAATGATAACGATTGTGTTACAATCACAATTGAAACAAATTCTAAAACTCCCATTGCAATCGCTTTCTGCTACCAGCTTTAATGTGACGTCACAAACTAATATATTTTCTGTAAAATCCACTCCAGATGAGAATAACAGCACAACACTGTCATAATCGTAATTCCTGTCAATTTCAAGCAATCAAATATAAAATATGAATTCTATCAATAAAATTTTTATAATTTTTTCCTGAGTTCGAAACCCACCTGACTGCCTTCATACTGTCATGTTGTCGGTCCAAGATAGGTACAAATGAAAAAAGAGAGAAAATGTAAGAAGTTTAATAGCATGAGATATAAAATATGAAGAAAAGAGAAAATATCTCAATTTGACTTACGTATAAAATTTGAATTTTAATTCTTTATATAGTAAGTTCCTTGAACTAGAATAGTTTGAAATCTAAAATTACAGAAAGGATGGAAACTCGCCC